TGCCTTCCTCCGAGTAGGGATGCGGCCGAACGGTGTGGAGGATGACGAAAGCAAGGCCCCACGCTGCCTGTGATGGTGCCGAACACCAGAGAAATGTGCTCAAACCAGCAAAGTAGACCGTTCACAGGGGTGAGCTTTATGGCTTGCAAATTATATCTCCACTTAAAAATTAAACGATGTTTTAAATATTTACGATCCAAGAATAAATTTAAGCAGCGAGTGAGACAGCAGCATGTGCAAAGGCCAGGGGGTGAGCAGGAACGAAAGCCCAGGGTACACGGCCTCAGAGGTGCACATGCACAGCCCAACCCGAGGCCCCGAGATCTCATGACAGTGGCTTCAGGAAGTCTAAGGAGAAAGTCGCTGCCCCAGGGGGAAACTGCAGCTCAGGACTTCTCACATCCCTACTGTTGGGTAACACGGCCTCTCCTGGCTTTACTGGAAAGGGGTGAGATGGGGGGCTGCAAACGCAGGTGCTTAAAGTCACCTGGGTGAGAACTGAGGCTCACCCTGAGCAGGCGGGCCCCACCACACAACGCCAGCCCATCCTTCCAGCCCTAACAGCTCTTTAAAAGAAGGAAGCAGTCCAGATTATTTTTTAAAATAATAGTTCTTTGAGGGAGAATTCATATCGCGTAACATTAACCATTTTTTTTAATGCGACTCAAAATGAACCATTTTAAAGCGATCCACGTGGTGGCAGGAAGCACGCCGGTCGCGCTGCTGTTGCACACACTTTCATGGCTCCACGGTAAAACCCCATGCCCGGCCAGCACCACGGCTCACTAGGCTAATCCTCCGCCTGCGGCACCAGCACCCTGGGTTCTCGTCCCAGTTGCTCCTCTTCAGTCCAGCTTTCTACTGTGGCCCAGGAGTGCAGGGGAGGATGGCCCAAGTGCTTGGGCCCTGCACCTGCATGGGAGACCAGGAGAAGCACCTGGCTCCTGGCTTCGGATTGGCGCAGCGCGCCGGCCGTAGCAGCCACTTGGGGGGTGAACCAATGGAAAAAGACCTTTCTGTCTCTCTCTCTCACTGTCTAACTCTGCCTATCCAAAAAAAATAAATAAATAAAAAATTTTAAAAAAATCCACCACACCCAGCAGCAGTTTCTCCCCTCTCTCTCCCTTCCTCCTCCCAGGCCCCAGCAGCCACCCACCTGCTTCTGTCTCTGTGGGGTCCTCTACTCGGGGCAATCCGGGTTTTGAATGTGGTCTTTCCCAATGTGCTCAACTCAAATCCATCGAACACAGCACGCAGGCCTGAAAGAGCGTGCCTGAGGCCTGGACTGTCACTTTGCAACGTCTATGCTGACACATTTTAAAACCTGGGGGACAGATGCCGCATTTCGACGCAGGGCACCATGAGCGCCCATTAACACCCTATGTGGCCATTCCCGAGTCACCCTAGACAGCAGCTGGCTCCTGAGCAGGGTTAGGGTGACAGCTGGCTTTGGGCTGCAGCCACACTTGAACTCCCCCCACCCACCCAGGGGTGGGGCTTTCCCCAAGGACTCCACTAAGGACCTAAGGACCTCTGGAACACACAGGTGACCTCACCCCGTCAGTGCACCGCTTCTACCCCCTCTCAAGTGCTGGTGTACACTTGAGCCAGCGGATGCATCGCCAGCTTACCCAGAAAGGAGCAATCTAGAACACTATACCAGCGTCACATGGAGGGGCCTTCAGCACCCATTTCCACCCCTGCTGAGTCGGCGTCTTCGGGGATGGGGCCCAGGATTCCGGAGTTTTGGTTCTTTGGTGGTTTGAGTCCCCTGGGGGACAATGATGACATCGAGATAGCCCAGGAGTACTGGCCCTGCACACTTGGGACACGCTGCCTTCCACGGTCTCTCTCCAAATCTAGCACCACAGGGACGAAGGTCAACACCGGCCGAGTTCCCCGCTGGGACCCTGGAGGGAGCCCAGCTGGGCCAGGACACCAGCATCTCTCAGTCCAGCCTCCATCTCACACTCACAGACCCCGTCTCACGTGTCAATCCTAACACTCCTTTGCACCCGTCTAATTCTCTCCAAGGGTAATCTGTCAAAGGCAAAGATCTTCAAAGCCCTACTGATCCTTCCTGTACCAAATTTCCAGCTATGTCTCCTCCTTCCCACACCCTGGCCTGGTTCTGACAATCCGCAGCCTACACCCCTACCTCAGGCCCTTTGCACACCCTGTTTATGCTGCCAGAGACCTCTTTCCATGCTTCTCTCCGTGTTCAGCTCCTCTTTCTACCAGGTCTCAGCACCTCCCTAAAGAGGCCTCCTCTAATAAAAGCCCCCACCCCCAGGCCTGGACCCCTTTTCTAGAACTTTCCCTCGGCTGCAGCATGTATTGCTCTCTGCAGTTACCTGGCTTACTTATAAGTCTGCTGCCTTCTCCCTAATTAAGTGGCAGCGCCCTGAGGCCGGGGCCAGAGCCGCCTGGCATTCTCTGTGTCCCTTGCACGGACGGGGCTTGGCACACCACAGACCATGCCGGTCTTTGTTGGATTTGATGAATGAATGAACACATGAATTAGAACCTCGGGCTCCATGCCGTCCAGTGGAACCTGTCTCTGACCTGGCCCCAAACGCCTTCCCAGACCGTGTGGGTTACAGTTCGGCAGAAATCACCCCTCAGGGCTTTCATGATTATAACAGCTTATGCAATCAATTTCATGGGAACACAAATATTAGTAAGGGGAAGTTACGCTCTTGTAGATTTAAGGAGTTAATTTCAAAATAAGTACTGCTGTGCCCTGATCAAAGAGAACTGAAATCTGTCTAGTTCCCCGATTCTGTGGGTTATTTTCCTGGGTAGTTGTGGGCCTTCCTTAAACAATCAGCTCTTGGTGGGACCTGCGTATGTGCCCTATTTCTGTACTTTCAGCATAAATTTCAGAGGGCCAGGAACCATGTGGCTTGTGCACCACAGGCACAGGGGACGGGGGTCTGGGGGTCTGGGGAGGGGTCCTCACTCAACCAGGTGGACCAATCTCAGAGCAGCAGCAAACTCCAAGATCATTTTTCTTCCTGGGTTTGCTGACTGGGGCATCCACCTGTGCGTGTGCACGGGTGTGTGTGTGTAGCAGAAGGGCTGGAGGGTCTGTGGGTGTGCACAAGGCTGTTTGTATAACAGTGAGAGGTTTGATACTATGTCACAAATCATGAGTGGGGGGCCGGCGCTATGGTACACAGTGGGCTAAGCCACTGCCTGTGGTGCCAGCATCCCATACGGCCGCTGGTTCTTGTCCCAGATGCCCCCTCTCTGATCCAGCTCTCTGCTAAGACCTGGGAAAGCAGTGGAGGATGGCCCAAGTACTTGGGCCCCTGTACTGCATGGGAGCCCCGGAAGAGCCTCCTGGCATCAGATCGGCCGAGCTCCAGCTGTTGTGGCTATTTGGGGAGTGAACCAGCAGACAGAAGACCAGTCTCTCTGTCCCTCTCTCTGTTAACTCTGCCATTCAAATAATGAAATAAAATCTTAAAAAAATTCCCGAGTGGCCACCAAGCCCTCCTCTGCCCTGTCACCTGCTCCCTCTCCTCCCTGGCCCCTATCCCACCAGCTTCCCTTGGGTCAACATCACACCCAAAGGAGCCATGTACAAACTTAACTTGTCCACATGACTCCCGCACCTCGAACACACACAGAACAGTCAGGGTGCCTGGGGCGTGCTGCTGCCTGCACGGACAGTGGCAGTGTCTGCAGACAGTGGCTGTCACACCCGCCACTGTGCCACTCAGCCTCCTGCCACGTGCCACGCAGTCCACAACACAGCCACAGTGGCCAAACCGCTCTAGACGGCGGACACACGCTGCATTGCCCTTCACACACAGGAAACAGACAGAAGTCCCCAGGGTGAGCAAAAGATGGAGGCCCTGCACCTGCTGTTCCCATAGCAAAGCTCATCCCGAGGGGCCGCGGGGGAGCGTGCGGCTCTGTGAGCACAGGCAACGTTCCAGGACCTGGCTGTAAGGGTGCCGACGCCCTCCCTGAGGTCCCCCGCTGGGTGGCGCTGTGCGAGCCGCTCCACTTTGCCCCGAGAAGTAAGGGTGCTGCAGCGCCGTGTGTGGGGCACACTGACGGAACCACCTCGTGTGGAACACCTGGAAGAGCGCCTGTGCACAGGACGCGCTGGCTGTTATTCCCACTCAGCGCCACGGCCCCTCACGACCAAAGCAGCCAAGAGTTCCATCCAGCCCCCAACCTAACAGAAATGGACTGGGGCAGAGATTTCCCAGTTCTCTTTGATCAGGGCAGAGCCGTACCTATTCTGAAGGTAATTCCTTAAATCGACAAAAACGTGACTTCCCCCCATTTAGATCTGTTTTCACGTGAAATTGATTGCATAACCCAAGACCCTGCCTGGGCTGCCCACGCCCATGTCAGAGCGCCTAGTTCACCAGGCCTCGGCTCCTCTGCTCCTGACCCAAATTCAAGCTCATGGGCACCCTGGGAGGCAGCAATGACAGCCCCAGAAGCTGGGTCCCTGCCACTCATGTGGGAGACCTACATGGAGCTCCCAGTTCCCAGCTGGCAGAGTGGCCCAGCCCTGGCTATTGTAGGCATTTGGGGCATGAACCAGCAGATGGAAGATCTGTCTCTCTGCCTTTAAAAAAGTAATGAAAAAGTCAGCGCTGTGGCTCACTAGGCTAATCCTCTGCCTGTGGTGCCGGCACACTGGGGTCTAGTCCCGGTCGGGGCACCAGATTCTGTCCTGGTTGCCCCTCTTCCAGGCCAGCTCTCTGCTGTGGCCCGGGAGTGCAGTGGAGGATGGCCCAAGTGCTTGGGCCCTGCACCCCATGGGAGACCAGGAGAAGCACCTGGCTCCTGCCATCGGATCAGCACAGTGCGCCGGCCACAGCGGCCATTGGAGGGTGAACCAACGGCAAAGGAAGACCTTTCTCTCTGTCTCTCTCTCTCTCACTGTCCACTCTGTCAAAAAAAAAAAAAAAAAAAAAAAAGACAGAAAGAAAGAAAAAGAAAAAAGTAATGAAAAATTAGTAAACTGATTGTGGATGACGGGAGAGACAAAAGGACCTTCCGAGCTAGTGAGGGAGTTCCAGAGGTGGCTTTTTCTCCATGTGACCTTTGCCCCCAGGCTGGGCCGGCACAGACACGTGACACTCTCAGAGGACAGTGTTCTTCCCAATGTGACACCCACCGGGGTGAGCAAGGCCCAAATGCAAAACACCAGCCAAGGAACCGGTTCCGACAACCAAGACCAAAGTCAAGTTCTGGAAACACATGGTGGCAGGAGGAGACTGCTCTGCGGTGGTGGGAACTCTCTGGAACCTGTGACCTTTGGGTGCAGAGCAGTTCTGCAAGACGGTGCCTAGAGAGCATCAGCCTAACTTCCCAGAGGAAGGGCAGTTTCCCGCTCCAGGGAGAACCCCAGCGTGATCCGTTCCAGCCCTGTGCAGACAGACGTGGAGGCACGCAAACCGTCAGTTACAGCAAGCGTTCCGGATGCCCACACGGGGCTTGTCGTATACATACCCGTCACCCCCCTCGGCTCACTCACACAACCTGACAGTGGAGGAGAAAACTGGGGGTCTGGAAGGTGCCGGGGTCTCTGTTCAAGTTCAAGGTCACTGTGACCACAGGCCAATGCAGACCTCCCTGAAAATGACCTGAGTGTCTCAAAGTAACAGAGGGGTCACTGGGATTACTGTACCCACCTGCCGGCTGCCCCAGGTGAGGGGAATTGTGAGTTGGCAAAGCAGCCACAGGCCTAGGCGAACAGAGTCACAGAAAAGACTGGCAGAAAGTGAAAGCTGCAATTTGAGGATTCAAGGTGACATGTAGCGCACACCCCTGCAGGTGACAAAGCGCCAGGCGCTGCAGGTGCAGTGGCTGGACTGCGGATGAGAGGAAGATGCTGTGTCCCCAGCTCGGACCCTTCTGGGGAGACGAGGAAAGCCCACTTGAGTCTCAGGGGGCACCTGCCAACTTGAACCCATAACCACACCGTGGGGACACCATAACTCAGCTGGGGAAGGGTGGAGTTGAGATCCAAATCGAGGTCTGCTCGACCAAAAGCCCAGGTTGCTCCTGGTCCCCGAGCAGCCGCACCGTGGCACAGCAACTTCACTCCTAGAAACGTGCGCAGAAGTGAAAGCAGATGTCTGCGCAGACCCTCACGCCCCAGTATTCTTAGCAACGTTGCTGCTGGAGCAGAAACCACCCAAATGCCCATCAGCTGATAAACGCACAGCGGCATATCCAGGCTGTGGAACGTAGCCCGCCATAAAAAGGAAGGAAATCCTGGTAAGTACCAAAATGTGGGCGAACTCGGAAACCACTATGCCAAGTGGGAGAAATCAGAGACAAGTGCATACTGTATAATGTCACGTGGCACCTTGGCTGGGCCCAGAGAGCTGTGAGGGCACTGCCAGCACAGTTTGGCATTCGAATCAGCGATGCAGGCAGGCATCACCCAACCTGTGGAGGGCTGAACGCAGAGCAGAAAGGTAGAGGATGGGAAAACCCACTCTCTGCCTGCGCCGGGACACCCACGTTCTGCTCTCACACACCAGCGCTCCAGGACTACAGCGTACCAGGGCTCGCCTGGCTCTCAGGCTGCGGGCCTGGACTGCAGCCGCACCCACAGCTTCCCCGGGTCTCCAACGTGTGGACAGCAGATCTGGGGACTACACAGCCTCCATGTTCACGGGGAGCAACCCTGCCCAGGCAATCTCTATGTTTCTAGAGAGCTGGCTGGCTCTGTTTCTCTGAGCAACCCTGACTGGTGCTGATTTCACGGATGTGTAATGTGCAGATCAGGCACATTCATACGCACAGAGAGCAGACTGGTGGGTGCCAGGGGCTCGGGGAAGGAGGAGTGGGAAGTGACTGCTTAGTGGGTGCAGGCTTTCCATCTGGGGTGATGAAACAATTCTGGGGGCCGCTGCTGTGGCACAGCGGGTTAAAGCCCCAGCCTGCAGTGTCAGCAACCCATAGGAGCACCGGTTCGAGTCCCGGCTGCTCCTCTTCTGATCTAGCTCTGCTGGAAAAGCAGTGGAAGATGGCTCAACTCCACGTGGGAGACCCAGAAGCTCCTGGCTCTTGGCTTCGGATCAGCTCAGCTCCAGCCGTTGTGGTCATTTGGGGAGTGAACCAGCAGAATGTAAGACCTCCCTCTCTCTCTCTCTCTCTCTCTCTCTCTGGCTCTACTTCTCTCTGCAACTCCTCTGTCTTTCAAATAAGTAAAATAATTCTTAAAAAAAAATCTAAACTACTGCAATATAACCAAGTCATTCCATTAAAAAAAGAAAAAAAGAAAGAATTCTGGAACTACACAGTGGTGATTGTTTCAAAATCTTGTGAGTAGACTGAAAACCACACTGAATTTTTTTTAAGAGTTTTATTTATTTGAGAGGCAGAGTTACAGAGAGAGGGAGAGACAGAGAGAGAGGTCTTCCATCCGCTGGTTTACTCCCCAAGTGGACCCAATGGCAGGAGCCAGGAGATTCTTCTGGGTCTCTCACACAGGTGCAAGGGCCCAAACATTTGGGCCACCTTCTACTGCTTTCCCAGGCCATCGCAGAGAGCTGGATTAGAAGTGGAGCAGCTGGGACTCGAACAGGCACTCAAATGGGATGCTGGTGCCGCAGGAAGGCTTAACCCCCTATGGCACAGTGCCGGTCCCATGAATTGTATACTTTAAGACTGCGTTTTTCATATCTGAATCACGTTTCAATGACACACACATATACACACAATACATTAAAATCAGAGGCAGAGGTGGCATTAGTAAATGTAGTAACAGTGGTTAAGATGCCACTTGGGGGGCCAGCACTGTGGCGTAGCAGGTTAAGTCTCTGCCTGTGATGCCAGCATCCCATATGGGTGCCGGTTTTGTCCTGGCTGCTCCACTTTGGATCCAGCTCCCTGCTAATGCTCCCAGGAAAGCAGTAGAGAATGGCCCAAGTGCTTGGGCCCCTGCACCCACATGGGAGACACAGATGTTCCAAGCTTTGGATTGGCCCAGCCCTGGCCATTGCAGCCATCTGGGGAATTAAAAATAAATTTAAAAAAATTTTTTAAAGAAATAATCTGATGAAAAAGTGGGTGGGGGGCATGTGACCTGGCCCACATCCCATTCGGGAGTGATCGAGTTTATGTGCCAGCTCCACTTCCAATTCTAGCTTTCTGCTGATGAGCAACCCGGGAGGCAGCAAGATGGCTCGAGCACACGGGCCCGCCACCAGCCACCTGGGACAGCCGCATGGAGTTCTGGTCCCGGCCGGGGGCCATATGGACATGCGGAAGTGAACAGGTACATGAGAATCACTCTCTCACTGCCTCTCTAACAAATGAAAAATTTAAATGGGCAAAGGACTTGAGCAGACACTTCTCTACACACGAAATAGATGTGAGCACCAAGCACGTGGAGAGAAGTTCAGTGTCACCACCTGCAGGGAAATGCCAAAATAAATCCCAGTGAGATAACACCTCACACCTGTTAGGACGCCTGCTGTAACCAAACAGAAAGTAACAAGTACGGGCAAGGATGAGGGGAGACTGGAACACGTGTACAGTTTCGATAAGAAGCAAAATGTTGCAACTGCTATGGAAAACATTGAAAACAGAATTACCATATGATCCAGCGATCAACAGCAGGATGTCAGAGAGAGATGTGCTCGTCCATGCTCACTGCATCACTGCTCCTAACAGCCAAGGAGAGCCAACAGCTCACGTTCCGTTCCACTGCAGATGAGTGCACAAACCAAACGTGGCCTCCCCACACAGTGGAATACTAGTCGGCCTTGACAAGGAAGAAAACGCTGACACCTGCCACAGCAGGGACGCGTGCTGAGGGTGTGATGCGCTGGCATACAGCACAGGGCCAAGAGGCGCCTCCACTTCTCGGAGGTGGCTCCGTTCATAGACAGAAATGACTCCGTTCACAGACAGAAAGCTCACTGGTGGTTAACAGGTGCACGGGGGGACGAGGGAAAGGAGAGCTGTTTAACAGACGCAGTTTCAGTTTAGCAACAAGAAAAAGTTCTGTTGCATCACAATGCGAATATACTCAACTCCACTGAACTGGTTTCACCTGGGACCCAGTCACTCACACTCACACACACACACGCACACACACACACACACCCGCCACGCTGAGAACTTTCGGCAATGTCCACCGACCTTCGTGGGTGCAGCAGAGGCCAAGGATATGCCAGTCATCCCAGTCCTCACAACAGTGGCCCGAGTGTGGTGACGCGGTGACTCAGCAAGGCAGGGGCCATGTCCCCCGCACAGCGCTTGTCCCAGCCACCTGCCTGGAGTCAGGTATGCGGGAGAAACTGCACACCATAAGGGGTTTACATGCTTGTGGGACTCTTACCAGATTCCTGGTCAAGGCCATCACTGGTCATTATGGCAGGAGAAATCACCCTCCCTCCCCCAGAAAATTCAGGCCCTCATCCCCAGAACCCATAACTGCTCCCTTATACGGCAAGAGAGCCTGCAGACCCCAGCTGAGGATCCTGGGACATGGAGATGGTCCCCGATTATGTGAGAGGGTCCTAAACGCTATAGGACAGGGGCACAGGGAGACCAGACACACACACACACACACACACACACACACACACGGGGAGAGGGGAGAGAGAGTGGGGGGAGGGGGAGGGGGAGGGGAGAGGGAGGGAGGGGAGGGGAGGGGGAGGGGAGGGAGGGGGAGGGGAGAGATGGGGAAGAGGGAGAGGGAGAGGGAAGGGGTAGGGGGAGAGAGAAGGACACAGGCCCGGAACAGCCAGCAGCCACCAGGAGCTGGGGATGTCGGGGACTAGACGTAGGACACGTGGCCCTGCCACACCTTGGCTTGGGCCCTGGTAAAACTGGCTTTGGGTTCCAGAACTGTCGAATGAACTTGTGCTGTCTGAAGACACACGTTTATGGCCACAGGAAACTCACAGCGTCTACTCCACTCTGGGGATTGTCGGATTTGAAACTGAGAACTTGGGGTAAAAAAACCAGAGATTTTGGAAAGAATGGCACTTGGGTGCCGGGGCCCCACACCTGGCGGCCCTGAGGGTGGAGGGGGGGGGGCAGGTGAGGGAGTGAGGCTGTGTGGTGGGCTCCTCCGCTCCTGGGACGCTGAAGGCCTCGGGCAGGCAGGTGGCCTCACCTGGATCAGGTCTGCCTGGATGGAGTGGAGCCGGGACTAGAGTCAGACTTCAAGGAGGTCCCACCTCTCCGGCCTCTTGCCCACCCCACGACCCCGCAGCCACCGTGGCCTTTCTTCCCACATGGCCTCGGGGCCATTGTACTTGCAGTTCCTTCAGTGTGGAACACTCTTCCTCCACAGTCTTCCATGGCTGTCTCATCCTAGTCTCAGCGCACATGCCACCTCCTCAGAGAAGCCCTCCCAGGTTGCACCCAGGATGCTGTTGATTTTCTTCCGAACCCTTCTCACACTCTATCTCATTAATGTCTGTTTTTCTGTCCAACAGTAGCTCCACCCCTCCCCTCCCCACAAACACCTGGAACGCGGGTTCCAGGCCGGCAGGGCTCTTGCCTCATTTATCTGTGAGTGAACGAACGCATTGGCAGCGCCGGGGAACGCATCGCCCCACATACCTGATCTTGGCTTTCCTAAAGGCCAGCTCCTCTTCATTGCCGAAGTCCAGCGACACGTCCTCGGTATCGTCCACCAGGGCCTGGGGAGACACGGCGGGCAGGTGGCAGGCCCGCCGCTGTGCACGCTTGGGGCGGGTCGCCATGCACCTCCACGGCCTCCCGAGCGGTTCCCCAGGACAGGCGGCTGCGATGCGAGGCCTCCTCCACCCGCCTGACCCGGGGACGCAGGCCAGCCCCAGCCCCAGCCCCAGGCCCCGGCCCGGCGCCTCCTCTCCCTCCCGGCTTCTCCCAGCGCTCCCGCAGGCCCCGCCCGTCCTCGCCATCACGCTCCCAGCCCCAGCATCCCCGCAGCCCCACCTGCTTCATCCTCCCGGAGCCGGCTCGGCGTCCACACCGCTGGCCCAGCTACGCCCGCCGCCGCCCAAGGACCTCAGGTGGCGCTCGGCCGACGCCGCGGGGCCGGAGCCTGCGCCCCGGGGTGGGGGCGGGGCGCGGCCCAGAGCGCAGTCGCAGGCTGGGGAGGGGGCTCGGCTCCCGGCGCTGGGCGGGGCTTGAGAGGGTCCCAGGGGGCTTGAGAGGGTCCCTGGAAGGAGTCCACGAGAAAAAGAGCAGGAGCCGCGAGGGTCGGGGGGTGGAGCGCGCGGATGGAGCCGTGGCAGGGAGGGGATGGAGCTGGGGGAATGGAGTCGGGGGCGGGGGCCGAGGACAGTGTCCCTGGGAGGAATAGTGGGCGTGGTCAGTGACTGTTGGGGGTGTCCCATCTGTGAGTGTCAGGGTTGGTGGTCTCACTCAGGGTCTGGGGTAGGTCAGTGTTTGCCTAATGTCTGTGCACAAGAATCCCCACCCCCACCCCGGCCCCTTAGGTGAACCGGATTCCCAGGGGATTGGAAGAATCTGCCTGTTAAGGGAACTTCGCTGAGGTCTGCACACATGGGGCGGCAGGCAGACTTCCTTCGGGTGAACCCCAAAGCTGGCTGAAGGAGTCGCTATGGAGCCCCCACTGACATCGGGGTGGTGGAAAGAATTAGGCATTTACTGCAAAGCAGAGCCAGGAGCTGGGCAGTGGCCCTCCAGGCAGTAAAGACAAGGGAGAGCCTCTGGGTGGCCCAGGGTTCTTGTGGCCTTTCTTTGATTGGTCGGGGATGGGGCCAGCATGTTTCCTCGGGAAGGCAAAGGTGGGCTCCAGTCTGTCTGTTTGGGTCCGAGGGTAGTCTGGGTATTAGTTTGTTGCATTAGGGCCCATGAGTTCTTGAAAAACTTCTCCACTGAAGTCTAGCACCAGGACGTTGGCTATCAGGGTGATGGATGGATCCATTTCAAGGCCTGCAATCCAGAATCCTGTGAGTTCTTGCCAAAGCTGTGGGTGAGCAGCCGGTGCTGATATTAACCGCGTTAGCTACAGGGGCAAGTGTGTCGCTCCATTACCTTAAAGAGTTTGTCTCTTGGGCTGCTGCCTGCAGTGCCAGCATCCCATATGGGCACCGGTTCAAGTCTCGGCTGCTCCACTTCCGATCCAGCTCTCTGCTATGGCCTGGGAAAGCAATAGAAGATGGCCCAAGTCCTTGGGCCCCTGCACCTGTGTGGGAGACCCAGAGGAAGCTCCTGGCTCCTGGCTTTGGATCGGCACAGTTCCAGCTGTTGCAGTCATCTGGGGAGTGAACCAGCAGATGGAAGACTCTCTCTCTGCCCCTCCTCTCTCCATGTAACTCTGATCTTCAAATAAAAATAAATCTTGGGCGGCGGCGGCGGCCACGCTCCGGCCGGGGTCCCTCTGCTCCCGGTGGCGCCATGGACGAGGCCGTGGGCGACCTGAAGCAGGCATTGCCCTGCGTGGCCGAAGCGCCCACGGTCCACGTGGAGGTGCACCAGCGGAGCGGCAGCACCGCGAAGAGGGAAGACGTGAAGCTGGCTGTCAGAAAGCTGCTCGACAGACACAACATTGTGTTCGGCGACTACAAGTGGACTGAGTTTGATGACCCTTTTCTGAGCAGGAACGTGCAGTCTGTGGCGCTCGTTGACACCGAGCTGAAGGTGAAAGCCCCGCAGCCCATTGATTTGAGTGCATGCACTATTGCACTTCACATCTTCCAGCTGAATGAAGATGGCCCCAGCAGTGAAAATTTGGAAGAAGAGACAGAAAACATAATTGCAGCCAATCACTGGGTTCTGCCTGCAGCTGAATTCCACGGACTCTGGGACAGCCTGGTGTACGATGCGGAAGTGAAGTCACACCTCCTCGATTACGTGATGACAACCTTACTGTTCTCGGACAAGAACGTGGACAGCAACCTCATCACCTGGAACCGCGTGGTGCTGCTGCACGGTCCTCCAGGGACTGGGAAAACATCGCTGTGCAAAGCGTTGGCCCAGAAACTGACCATTAGACTGTCAAGCAGGTACCGGTATGGTCAATTAATTGAAATAAACAGCCACAGTCTGTTTTCCAAGTGGTTTTCTGAAAGTGGCAAGCTGGTAACTAGGATGTTGCAGAAGATTCAAGATTTGATTGACGACAAAGAAGCGCTGGTGTTTGTGCTGATTGACGAGGTGGAGAGTCTCACGGCCGCCCGCAGCGCCTGCAGGGCAGGCACCGAGCCCTCGGACGCCATCCGTGTGGTCAACGCCGTCTTGACCCAGATTGACCAGATTAAAAGGCATTCCAATGTGGTGATCCTGACCACTTCCAACATCACTGAGAAGATCGACGTGGCCTTCGTGGACAGAGCTGATCTCAAGCAGTACATCGGGCCCCCCTCGGCAGCAGCCATCTTTAAAATCTACCTCTCTTGCTTGGAAGAACTCATGAAGTGTCAGATCATCTACCCGCGCCAGCAGCTGCTGACCCTGCGAGAGCTCGAGATGATCGGCTTCATTGAAAACAACGTGTCCAAGCTCAGCCTCCTTTTGAGTGAGATTTCAAGGAAGAGCGAGGGCCTCAGCAGCCGGGTCCTGAGGAAGCTGCCTTTCCTGGCTCACGCGCTGTACGTGCAGGCCCCCACCATCACCATAGAGGGCTTCCTGCAGGCGCTGTCGCTGGCAGTGGACAAGCAGTTTGAAGAGAGAAAGAAGCTCTCAGCTTATGTTTGACCGGATCCCAGCAGCGGCGTTCCTGGAGCACCACTGTCGGGACGTGGCCTCACGGCAGCCGCCGCTCAGCATCCCCCTGGAAGCCGCCTAGGCCTGCAGGCCAGCCCCCGACGAGGCCGGGCTTCCCGGGAAGAGGTGTGCGACCTTTGTGCTATTCCTGATGCCCGCCAGACCTCGACTTGTCACTTCCGCTCTAGAGCTCATCTGTAGGAAACCACGTGTTTCCTCCACCCATCCTGCCTGCAGCCGACCAGATGCGTCACACTACCAAGGCTGGCTTTTGTTTAAAAGGAAGCCGAGGACGGGCGCTATGGAAACAAAGGAAAAATGCTGTTGCCTTCGGTAAGCATGAAGCCATAGCGTTTCTCAGGCCAGAACCCAGAGTTGCTTCCTGATGGGAAGCCTGTTCCCAGGAAGAGGGCTCGGCGAAGTGTCCTGTGTGACCATCGGACGCCTGCTGCCTGCAGGGAGCACCGCCTCCCGTGGAGGCGCCTGCGTGCCGGTCGTCCCTTGGGACCGCCGCCAGCTCCGGTCACTGCCTGGACGTTTCTGCCCATTTTCTTCTCTGTTCTGATGTTTTTCATGCTTCCAGAGAAGATGCACGTCAGCAGAACAAAATGTGTCACAAAATACCATGTTTTGCTTTTATCTCATGCTAAAATAAATCTCATAATACTGTTTTGTACATGAAAAATAAATAAATAAATAAATCTTTACAAAAAAAAAAAAAAAGAGTTCATCTCTCCAGAAGAAGTGCCAGCCAAGGAAGACACTGCGACCCAGGACCCAGTGACACCTATCAAAGACTACTAGGAACACAGCCGAGTGACCTCCCAAGCACAACATAGCTCTCCTGTCCCTGACAGTAACAGCAACGCAGCCTGCTGGGTGGCTCCCACGTAGGAAGGGGTGACCCGAAGGTCTTTCCCGGCTCAGGGCACAGTCACTCCCCTCTCTCCCTCCTGAGCCCCCACCTGATATGGCATTGGCAAGGAGTCACTCAGGAAATAGGAAGGCTGGGAGATGTACCCCAGTTTCTGCCTCTAGCCCTGCACCCTAACTCCACCAGTCTGGCACACTGACTTTCCCATGATGCACCTGAGTCTCTGCACCATGAAAATGCTGTGATGAGCAGGTGTAGCCTGGGAGCCATGAGAACTTTCCCAGAGAACATCATGTGCCCTGGAACTCCACCCAGACTCCACCCTATTTGCATATTCAATCAGAGCACCACTCCCTTCCCAATAAAGCGGACCACTGCGCTGGGCGGGCTCTCTCCCTGGCCCTCTCATGGTGAGCGTCTCTCCTCGTGGGGTTGCCTGCACATCTGAATATATACTCACTGCCTCCTCCTGTGATCGCACCTTACTTACAGTCCCTGCTTTGCACTCTTATCTCACGCAGGGCAAGAACCTGGGATACAGCAGAAAACATATTCCCTCAATACACCCAGGGCCAAAGGGCTGAGCATCAAGATGCCAGGGACTGTGGTCTTGCCCTTTGCTCTTGGGTGTGTGCAAGAACCTGTGTCCCACCCTGGTGACCACAAAAGGACTGCTGGGCCACGGGCTCCAGACACAAGTCACCCCATGCAGGGCCCACTGGGGGTGGCTGGAGCCTTTGATCTCAGGTAGGGCCCTTCCCTAAGCTGACCACACAAAGAACCTTCCAGGTGTGTGTGGAGGGAGCGTGCTTTCTCCTGGAGACGGAATGCCATCTTCTAAAAGAGCCACAGCCCTTTTCCAGTGTTTCCCAAACTCCGCTGCAATCCAGGTGGCGTTGTTACAGCTGATACGAACCCCAGGAACTTGCTCTATTCCAGAGGAGGTATGAGGCAGATGAACAAATAGGGCAGGTGATCAAGTGAAAGAGTTTTATTGAAAAGAGCAGAGGGAAGGCTCCTAGGAAAGCAGCCAAGAGGGACCTATTCAGCAGGAAAAAGCCGTTAAAAGGAAGTGATCTGGAGGCTTGGTACCCTGTGGAGAGTCTGTGCAAGGTCCTTTAAGAAAAGCATTTCTTGGGGCCAACACTGGTGCAGTGGGTCAAAGCTGTGGCTGGCAGCACCAGCATCCCATAAGGGCACCGGTTCAAGTCCTGGCTCCTCCACTTCCCATCCAGCTCCTTGCTAATGTGCCTGGGAAAGAAGTGGAGGGTGGTCAAATTGCTTCGGCCCCTGCACCCATGTTGGAGACCTGGAAGGAGCTCCCAGCTCTTGGTTTCGGATCAGCTCGACTCTGGCCTTTGTGGCCATTTGGGGAGTGAACCAGCAGATGGAAGACCTCTCTCTGTCTTTACCTCTCTCTGTAACTCTGTATTTGAAATAGATAAAATCTTAAAAAAAAAAAAAAAAGGAAAGAAAAAGAAAGAAAGAAAAGAAAAAGAGCTCATCCTGCCTTCTTATCTCTCATTCTTCCCACTTGGTTGTGACTTTTACAGGACAAAGAAAAAGTTCCATCTTGGGGCCTGTTGGGTGGGCAGGAGCTGCTTATTTTACTGTGGTCCCAGGCTGGTCGCAGACAGCTCCAGCCACCTGGCCTTCGCGTGGCCTTGGTGCCAGAGCCAGCTTTTTTCCTAGCTAATCAAAGAAATTCTTTCTGTCCCTTTCTTTATCACACTTGCTTTCCCAGCTAGGTTAAGAAAATAAACAGAGGGCTGCCTTTGTTCTCTCTACATTTTTTACCATATTCCCCCCCCCCCATCAGCATCTCAAAGCACCCCTGCTGAGCTCACACCAGAGAGCTATAAAATCGGGCTCCCTGGGGGTGGGACTCAGCACCTGGGCTTTTAACACACCCAGGTGTTGGCCAGTCAAGGTGAGAGTCAGTGCTTGTCACTAGGTACTTCTCCCCCTTCAATGAGTGACAGGTGGATTTTCATGGGGGAGGGGTAGATCTGGGAGGGGCCTGAGGTTGTGCTTATCTAAGAGCTCCCAGGTGAAGTGGACCATCCTTTGCTCTGATACGACTTTCTGAGGTCTGCTGACTCCTGCCCACAGCCAGCACCCCCACCCCCAAGGTGTGCAAGAGCATCAGACTGAGAGCCCCTTCCGCCTGTGTTCTAGGAGGGGTTGGGGGGTGAAGGGACCAGGGTGGGGCGTGGAGGGCAGGTGGAGGTGGGCAGCAGTTGTAGAACATTTAGGGGCTTTTCCTCTGACCCCAAAAATCACCAGCTGTTGGTATCTGTTGAGTTGGGGCCGGGAGGTGGGAAAGCCCCCTTGGAAGCCCCTGTTGGGACCAACTGACATTCTCAGCGATCGTTTTGGGGATGCCTGACATAGAGGCCAACTGACAATCACTTTGGGGACTTCCTGTCACAGAGGACACTCCCCTCTCCCCTTCCTGACCTGTCCACAGGGGTCAGAGGACTGAGAGGACAGATCCTGGGGCCCTGGGACTCCACTGTTTGCTCCCCATGGGAAAATACCCTCATTCCCCACACCCCTAAACAGCCTCTATGGGGGTCAGTGTCCTGACGTGGGGGCAGGCAGAGCAGGCTGTGCAAGCAACTAGAAACTGGCAAGCAACTAGAAACTGGTAATGCTGCTCTACTTTTTTTTTTTTTTTAAGATTTTATTCATTTATTTGAGAGGTAGAGTTACAGACAGTGAGAGGAAGAGACAGAGAAAAAGGTCTTCCTTCCATTGGTTCACTCCCCAAATGGCCGCAATGGCTGGAGCTGCACCGATCCAGAGCCAGGAGCCAGGAGCTTCTTCCTGGTCTCCCACGCAGGTGCAGGGGCCCAAGCACTTGGGCCATCTTCTGCTGTTTTCCCAGGCCATAGCAGAGAGCTGGATCGGAATAGCAGCCAGGACTAGAACCGGCGTCCATATGGGATGCCGGCACCGCTGCAGGCAGAGGATTAACCTACTGCGCCATGGCACCTGCCCCACTGCTCCAGTTCTGATTCAGGTCCTGCTAATGTGCCTAGGAAAGCAGTGGAAGATAGCCCAAGTGCCTGGGTCCCTGCCACCCACATGGGAGACCCAGATGGAGCTCCACGCTCCTGGCTTTGGCCTGATCCAGCCCTGCCGGTTGCAGCCAGAATCTTCCTGTCTCTATTCTCGATCTCCCTCTCTCTCTCTGCATGTAACTGCGTTTCAAATAAATATTTAAAAAACTAGCTGTAGCAATGTCACTTCTTAAAAGATGGATTCCAAAGTCCACCCTAGGCCTTTGGAATGTCCAGGGCCCAGGCTAGGAATCTGCTTCCCAAGGGCCAGGGTGGGGGTGAGGGGGGACGGCGTGTGTCCTTGGGAGGAGACACCTTCGGGAAACCCTGCCCCCCCCACATTCTCTCGGGGTCCTGGCCCAGAGGGGGTTGGGGAGCAGAACTGCAAGGGGCTAACTTCCCACTCCGGAGCCAGCACGACCTGTCCCCGCCCAGGGCGCCTCGGCATCTGGATGACCCTGGGAGTCAGGAGGCCTGGCCTGGGAGGGCAGGGGGCCTCACCTCTCCAGCGGGGCCACAGCTCCCGCCCAGAGAAAACCCACGTACAACGCCCTCCTCCGAGTAGGGGCTCCGGGGACAGCGGCCCTGCGGACAGAGGCTCAGGGTCCTCGGCAGAGGAGCCTGGGGTCACAGATGCCCTCTGTCCGGCAGTGCCCCGGAAGTGATCCCCCGGCCTGACCACTCCTTCCGGCCAGCGGAGCGGAGCCGGAGTTTCGTCAGCGGCTGTGCGGCGTGCTGCCCTGCGCTGAGCTCCAGGCCAAGTGGCCCCTGAGACAGAGGTACAGTGAACGGCGGTCTCCCCAGTGACCCCAGGGGCCCTGACCAGAGAGCTGGTGTGGATCCTGGACCCAGCGCCCCAGGGGAGGCGGGAGGGTCAGCCTGGCTTGGCGGCTGCTGGTCCCAGGCCTGACCGCGGGTTGGACGGTTAGTGAGCGAGGCGTGGGAAATCCTGGGGCTGCAGAGGCCAGGGCCTGCACTCCTGAGACCCCAAGGCCCCTGAGGTCCGCCCACCTGGCAGCTGGCGACGGCCCTGCCCCTCTGCCCCAGGGCGAGCCGCTGCATGTGGCAATAATAGAGGAAATGAGCTAAACTGAATTACAGACAAATAACTTTTTAGTGTAAGTATAGCCCGTGTGATGTTTGGGGGGGAGAGGGAGGTGGAGACAGGTCTTTTAATCTGCTGGTTCACTCCCCAGATGGCGCAATGGCCAGACCTGAGCCCATCCGATCCGAAGCCAGGAGCCAGGAGCCAGGAGCCAGGAGCCAGGAGCCTCTTCCGGGTCTCCCACGCGGGTGCAGGCGCCCAAGGACTTGGGCCATCTTCTACTGCTCTCCGAGGCCACAGCAGAGAGCCGGATCGGAAGAGGAGCAGCTGGGACTCGAACCGGCGCCCATATGTGGCTTTACCTGCTATGCCACAGCGCCGGCACCTTTTAATACTTCAAAATTACCGGGTACTTGTCTCAAGTTCCGTTTATCTGCGGCTCTCCATGACTCCAGGTCAGGGTCCACCCAGCCCACGAGGCAGGGCTCCCGCTCTCCTGCCTGAACAGCTGCCCCACCATGCCATTTCCGAGCGGCTCCGTCCCCCCGGCTCCTGGCTGGCTCCCTCTCCCCACCTGCAGCCAGGGCCCGGCACCCATAGAGACAGAGCAGGAGCCAGGGAGGGAGGAGGGTCGCCTCCGGGGCTGCCTTCAGTCGCCCACCTCGTCCCGCACGGTGTTGCCTGCTGAGCCTGGGATGTCTACCCAAATCGGCACAGGGGAGCAGTGCTTATGGAGACACACAAGGCGTGCATCCTCTTTGGGCCTTCATTCTAGTTGTGTGTATGTAAGTACAGCTAAGTTAAAAAAAAAAGAAACTGGACCTTGTGAAAAGTGCACTATCTCTCTCCTTCCCTGTCACTCTGCCTTTCAAATACATCTTTAAAATAAGAGCAGTAAATAAAAGCAAAGTTTAAACAGAACAGAAAGTGCGCAAAATGCTACACAATGAAGCTACACTGCTCAGGCTAGGAACCCCAGCTCGAGTCATGGCTAAGCCCTCATACTGGGACGAGGCCCAGTGAGGGGCTGTCCTTGCGAGATACACAGCAGGAAAGAGAAGAGAGAATTTTCAAATAGTGTTTGCATTGCTTAGATGTCATAGTGATAATCTTTTGGATATATTGGATTAAATAAAATGTATTATGAAAATTAATTTACCCCTTTTTACTTAAAAAAGCATTATTTACTTATTTGAGAGACAGAGAGCTGCAATCTGTTGGTTTACTTCCCAAATCTCCACGAAGAGTGGAGCTGTGTCAGGCCTAAGCCAGGAGCCAAGAACGCCATCCAGGTCTCTGGCGTGGGTGGCAGGGACTCAGGTACTTGAGCCGTCATTTGCTGTCCCCCAGTCTGTGTTATCAGGAAGCTGGAATCGGGACCAGAGCAGGGATTGGAACCTTGGCACTCTGATGTGGGACGCAGACCCCTTAACTGCTAGGCCAAATGCCTATGCCTTGTTTTTACTTTTTAAAAATTTAAAATTACTTCTGTAGCTTACACCATATAACTTTTTTTATTTGAAAAGGATTTAGTCATTTATTTATTTATTTGAAAGGCAGAGTGACAGAGAAGAGAAAAAGAGGAGAGATCTTTTATCCACTGGTTCACTCCCCAGATGACTGTAACAGCCAGGTGTGATCCAGACCAAAGCCACTGTCTTCCCAAGTGCATTCGCAGGAAGCTGGATCAGAAGCGGAGTAGCTGGTACTCGAATCACTCCAATATGGGCTGCAGGCGTTGATACGGGGTGCCAGCTTCGCAAATGGCAGCTTAACTGTGCCACGAGGCCAGTGCTGGCATATGTTTCTTTCTTTCTTTTTTTTTTTTTTTATTTTTGACAGGCAGAGTGGACAGTGAGAGAGAGAGACAGAGAGAAAGATCTTTTACCGTTGGTTCACCCTCCAATGGCTGCTGAGGCCGGCGCACCGCGCTGATCCAATGGCAGGAGCCAGGTACTTATCCTGGTCTCCCATGGGGTGCAGGGCCCAAGCACTTGGGCCATCCTCCACTGCACTCCCGGGCCACAGCAGAGAGCTGGACAGGAAGAGGGGCAACCGGGACAGAATCTGGCGCCCCGACCAGGACTAGAACCTGGCGTGCTGGAGCCGCAAGGCGGAGGATTAGCCTAGTGAGCCGCAGCGCCGGCTGACATATGTTTCTGTTACTGGAGAGTGATTGGGTGGAAATTGGACAAGGGCACAAGGAAGTCCTTTCTGAACTAACACTCAACATTTAAAAAGTTACGCAAAAATTTAAACAAATATGGGGCTGGTGCTGAGGCATATCGGGTAAAGCCACCTCCTGCAGTGCCAGCATCCCATATGGGTGTGCTGGTTCAAGTCCCAGCTGCTCCACTTCTGATCCAGCTCCCTCCTAATGGCTTGAGAAAGCAGTAGAAGATGACCCAACTCCTTGGGCCCTTGCACCCAAGTGGGAGACTTGGAAAAAGCTCCTGGCTCCTGACTTCGGATCAGCCCAGCTCTAGCCTTTGTGGCCATTTGGGGAGTGAACCAGTGGATGGAAGACCTCTCTCTGTCTCTCTGTCTGTCTGTCTCTCTCTCTTTCTGTGCCTCTGCCTCTCTGTAACTCTGCCTTTCAAATAAAATAAATACATTTTTTTTAAAAGAGCAACATCAAAAAAAATTTTCAACAAATATGAAAGCAGACAGCGTAAGAAACCCCTGCGTGCCCATCAGCTATTGACAGTTCTCAGCAGAGGGCCCGTGTTTTTGCATGGATAGGTTCCCTGCCTCCATATGACTTTGATGCAAACTCCAGCACCTTATCGATTCATTAGAGCGTTTCAGTTTGTAGCTCTAAACAATGGACTCTTGAGAAAGAGATATCGATATAGATACAGATGCAGATATAGATAAAGATAGATATACAAAACTATGCATGGATTTCATTTTTTGTTGTTGTTGTTTTTTTTGCCCCAAAATAATTTTATTTTGATTCTGTTTTCCACAAACTTTCTGAATTATCCCAGCGTGTACACAGATCACCTCCCAGCCCCTCCCACCTGTCCGTCTACCCAGACACCCTGAAGGCTTGAGGTTGGAAGCCCAGAGCCGCTGCTGTGTGTGACCCCGCACTGCCGGGAGGGTGGGGTGAGGCAGCCTTGTTTGGAAGCCCTGGCATCTGGGGCGCAGGCCAATGCTGTCATGGTGAGTGCAGAGCCTGGCTGCCCATGGCAGGACTGGAGCCAGCTGGAAGGGAGCCACCATTTACGGGAAATGCTCCGCTGAAGAGAAAAGGTGGCGGGTTGTTTGCCCCAGACCTGGCTCCTGTCCAGACTGCTCAGGAAGCCTTGCGCCACGCTCAGTTCCTCCCGCCAGAAGCCGGGGGAGAGCTCTGTAAGGCAAGGCTGAGCCTTGCACCCAGCCCCTCCTCCCCATTTACCAAACCAGACCAAACAAAAACCCAAACAGCAGTTTGTGTAGTATTTTCATCAGTTCCCAGTGCACTGGCTAAGAGCGAACACCGCTCCCTCAGCTTGTTTGGGTTTGAAGCTCAGCTCTGCCCCTGCGCAGCTGTGGCATCTTGGACAAGTTACTAACCTCTCTGAGCTTCGTTTCCCTAGTGTGTGAAATGATTGTATAATGGGACCTGCTTCTCAAGGCTATTGCAGGGAAGAATGGAGTGCATACGTTATCACGTGCTTAGAACGTTGAGTGTACCTAGAACATGTTTGCTGAAAAAGGGATGTCAGTCGGCCTTCATTGCCACCCCAGGAAATAGGCAAGGTGCATGCAGTGGTACCCATTTTACTGTCAAGATGACTGAGGCTCGGGTTTGCAAGCATGTACACACAGCTGGTCTGTGAGAACGTGAGCAGATCAGAGGCCTCTGTCTCCTGCGCACAGTTGTCCCCATCACTCAGAGCTGGGGTGTGTGTCCCCGCCAAGCTCTTAACCCAAGAATGTCCAGTGCCGGCCCGGAGACCACATCCGGTCTCCAGATGTGTTTAGTTCACCTGGGAAACTTAAACAAACAACAATAAAGAGTTAGTGGATGGCGGTGCCGCATTTCACTAGGCTAATCCTCCGCCTTGCGGCGCCGGCACACCGGGTTCTAGTCCCAGTCGGGGCGCCGGATTCTGTCCCGGTTGCCCCTCTTCCAGGCCAGCTCTCTGCTGTGGTCAGGGAGTGCAGTGGAGGATGGCCCAAGTGCTTGGGCCCTGCACCCACATGGGAGACCAGGATAAGTAGCTGGCTCCTGCCATCGGATCAGTGCAGTGCACCGGCCGCGGCGGCCATTGGAGGGTGAACCAATGGCAAAAAGGAAGACCTTTCTGTCTCTCTCTCACTGTCCACTCTGCCTGTCAAAAAAAAAGAAAAAAAAAGAAAAGAAAAAAAGAGTTAGTGGAATTAATTTCCAGTATTTAAAAATCAGGTGTCACTTTCTTCGCTTGAAATCTCCGTTTCTGGTTTCTTTAGAGAAACTTGGAGGTGATTCTGCGTTCCCTTTAGTGGGAGCTGAGCCCGCGTCTCCCGTGGCAGGAGCAGAGCGGTGGCGCCCCCCCCCCCCCTTTAAATGGGATTGCAGACCCTGCTCCACCCCCTCAGTGCCCAGTTCGCTCGCCAGGGTTCTCTGACTGGCTCTACTGAGTTTCTCATTGCTGCTTACACCCCCCGTCTCAGACGGGCTGCCCCGAGATGGGTTGGATGTTAGTGTCCCTGGGGAGGAAGGGGAGACGGGGGCCAGAGGGAGTCTCTGCAGGTTGTGGCATCAGGCAAGCTCCACCGAGGATGCGTGTGTCTCCTAGGGCTGACCTAATAAAGCAGCAAACTGGATGCCTAGACAGGCACTGACTCAGAGTTCCAGAGGCTGAAGTCAGAGAGCGAGGTGTTAGCAGGTGTCCCCAAGCGCTCCTGCGCGTCTGTTCCAGGCCTCTCCTGGCTCCCCACGGCCCCTGAGCTTGCGGCAGTCTAACTCCAGTCTCTCATATCTTCCCTGTGTGCAGTCTGTGTTCAGATTTTCCCTTTCCTTAGGAGACTAGCCACGGGGAACGAGGGGCCCACCCTGCTGTAGTATGACATCATTGTAACTAGTCAATGTCAGGGGTGCCCTTCTCTCCAAGTTGGAGTAGAACACAGACCCAGACACCCACCCAGTCCCTGGTGCCCTCGAAAAGCTGCTGGGCCCAGCACAGAGATGTAAAAGGCCAGGGCAGTAAAGGGACTCCCCCACCAGTGACGTTCTGTCTGCAGACCCTAGCCCCCTCACCCTCGGGTCAGTGGGATGACACTGAGGGGTGTAGTTTGTCCTGGGCTGTGAGTTCCCTTGCCTATGCTGTATTCAGAGTTGAGCCCAAACTCTCCCTGACTGCAAGAACCTGTGGCAGTGCTCCCTGTACATATCACGGTCGTGCTCACCTTGCTGTAACAAGCATCATTGAAGAATTTGTTCTTTGACACATTGAAAGAGAATTTTTAACGGTACCTCACAACCACATTTCTTGTCCTCTCTTAGAGTTAGTGTGGTCATGTGGCCAAGCTAGGAGAAGTAAATTCTGTCATTTCGAGGTTACCCCTTTCTGTATGATGGAATGCAGTTGTGATGACCAGTGTTGGGGCTGCCATTTTGGATCAGTGTGTTAGAAGCGATGAGTACAGATGGGGCAGCCATGAGGCAAGGGAGCCTGGGTCCCTGTCCCGTGGAGCCGCCTCATCTAATCTGGGTGCTTCTAGACTATTCCATGAAGTACACATCCACATTGACTTGTGTTACTGCTGCTGTACCCCTCTCTTACCTCACGTGCTGTATCATGCAGAAATGGCTAGGTGGACGTTCATCCGCCACGGTGTTGTATTTGATGCGATTTGACTTAAGATGTGAATCTGTAGCCCATGTTTGGGGAAGCACTTTACATTTTCATTTTCATTTTATTTTATTTGAATGGCAGAGAGAGACAGAGACAGAGACAGAGAGAGAGAGAGAGATCTTCCGTCTGCTGGTTCACTCCCTACATGCCTGTAACAGCTTGGGCTGGGCCAGGACAGAGCCAGGAGCCCAGAACCCCATCTGAGGCTCCCACATGGGTGGCAGGGACCTAAATACTTAAATCACAACCTGTCGCCTCCCAGAGTGCACGTGAACGGGAAACTATGTCAGAAGCGGAACTGGGACTTGAACCAGGCACTCCAAGATGGGATGCAGGTGTCCCCAGTGCCAGCCCCTGGCACTTACAGAGACGGCGGTCCCCCGGGCTCCAGAGGAGCAGAGTGGGTGTGATGAGAGGCTCGCAGGTCTCCCAGGTGGAGAGAGGGGGAGGGGTCTCCACTATGAAGATGTTAACCGTACAAATTGGTGGTTTCCGCAGGAGTCCCAGTGCGAAGCCACAGGGACAGACGCTTGTGCTGCTTTTCCTGCGGCCCAGAGAGGCTAAGCACCTTGACAAGCTTGCACTGGTAAGTGGCAGAATTGGGGCTGGAGTTCAGGTGTGTGCACCCCAAAGCCTGCACTTTCCTCAGAACCCCACTGCCCTGGGACGCGGGGGCTGAACAGTGAGGTGTTGCTGCGTGCCTGTCTGAATGGCCCAGATCCAGGACACCGGGAACACCAGATGCTGGCACAGGGAGCTCGGGAACCCTTCCTCATTGCTGACGGCAGTGCGAAACGCTGCAGCCACTTGGGAAGACGGCCGGCGGTGTCCTGCTAGACTAAACCTCCTCTTCCCGTGTGGCCCAGCCGTCTGTGATGGTTAAGTGCGGTGTCAACTGCCTGGATGGGAAGATGCCAGACGGCTGGTACAGCGCTGTTCCTGGTGTGTGTGTGTGTGATGGGTTCCAGAGCAGATCTGGCATGTGAGTCAGTGCACTGAGTGTGTGTGTGTGTGTGTGTGCATGTGCGTGGGGGGGTGATAGACTCTGAGAGGGGGCGAGCCGGGGACCCTGACGGAGCAGAAGGTCAGAGGGCAAGTGCTCCCCGATGGGTCTCTGTCTCCCTGCCCCTCCCGGTACGGAACACCCTCTTCCTGCTTTTGTGCATCAGATGGCCCCTTTTTTGTTGTTATTAAGATTTATTTATTTATCTATCTATCTATCTATCTATCTAAAAGGCAGAGTGACACACAGAGAGGATGAGACGGAGAGAGAGATCTTCCGTCTGCTGGGTCACTCCCCAGATGGCCGCAGTGTGGGGGGTGGACCAGGCTGAAGCCAAGGACATGGAACTCCATTCACATCTCCCATGAGGCTGGCAGGGACCCAAGTACTTGGACCATCCTCTACTTTCCCAGGCACATTAGCAGGTGTCTAATTCTGATGCTTTATTAAAATCTGACTCCCACACCGTGCAACTCATCCATTTAAAGTGTGCAGTGCAGTGGCTCTTAGTATATGAACAGTTGTTTCAGCTTCATTCACCACAGTCAGCTTTAGAACATTCTCATTGCTCTACAGGGCCCCACTCGTTGGCTGTTACTTCCCAAACCACTCATCTGCTTTCACACAACATGTGGTCCCTCTGTCCCTGACTGTTTTTAGCATAGTGTTTTCAAGTTTCATCTATATTGTAGCAGGAGTCAGTGCTTCATTTTTCAAAAAGACATTTTATTTTATTTGAAAGGAGAAACAGAGGTCTTCCACCCACTGATTCACTCCCCAGATGGTCACAATGTCCAGGGCTGGGCCACAAAAGCCAGGAGCCAGGAGTTCTTCAGGATCTCCCATGAGGGTGGTAGGGACCCAAGCACTTGAACCACCCTTTACTGCTTTTCCCAGGCACATTAGCAGGGAGCTAGATTGGAAGTGGAGCAGCAGGGGCATTAATGGGCTGCCAAATGGGATGCCTGCGTTGCAGGCGGCTTTACCCACTGTGCTACCACACCAGCCCCCGTCCTTCACTTTTTTAAATGTTTATTTACTCTTTTTCCTTTATTTGAGAGACAGGGAGCTAGAAATGGAGAACTCGTATCTGTTGCTTCGCTCCCCAAATGCCTCTAAGAGCCCAGGCTGCCCAGGCTGAAACCAGGAGTCAGGAATCCAGGTCTCCTATGTGGCTGGCAAGGACTCAAATAGTTGAACCATAACCACCTGGCTCCCCGGGTGTATAACAGTAAGAAACTGGATCGGAAATCACGTAGCAAAGACTCGAACCAGGCACTCAAATGTGGGATGCAAGCTTTGCAGGGGGAGCCTGACTGCTGTGTCAGACGCCCACCCCTCACTTCTTTTGATTGCCAAGTAATATCTCTTTGTGCACATAGGCGGGATTTTAACTATCCGTTCACTCATTCTGGCGCTTTGGGTTGTCTCATTTTTTGGCTGTTAGGAATAATGCTGTTGTGAACACTTTTTTTTTTTTTAAAGATTTATTTATTTATTTGAAAGTGAGAGTTATACAGAGAGAAGAAGAGAGGCAGAGAGAGAGAGAGAGATGGAGGGAGGGAGGGAGGGAGAGAGGAAGGGAGGGAGGGAGGGATGGAGGGAGGGAGAGAGGGGTCTTTCATCCACTGGCTCACTCCCCAGTTGGCTGCTGGGAGCTGTGCCAATCCGAAGCCAGGAGCCAGGAGCTTCCTCCAAGTCTCCCACATGGGTGCAGGGGCCCAAGCACTTGGGCCATCTTCTACTGCTTTTTCAGGCCATAGCAGAGAGCTGGATCAGAAGTGGAGCAGCCGGAACATGAACTGACACCCATATGGATGCCAGCACTGCAGGTGGTGGCTTTACCCGCTATACCACCGCGCCGGCCCCTGTGAACAATTTTTGCAAGTTTTATATGGACAGACTTTTCAGTTCTCTTGGGTATGTACCCAGGAGAGAAATTCCTAAGTGCTGGCTGCCCTATGTACTTCTTGTATACTTTCAGGAACTGCCACGTTGTTTCCCAAAACCTTACTGAATTGATAAACAACTGGGTGGGCCTGTGGCGCAGTGGTCAGGTGCTGCCTGGGTACGCATCCACGTCAGGTGGGTTCCATTCCCCACTCCTCTGCTTCCCTCCCAGCGTCCTGTTGATGTTCAGCCTGGGGGGCAGCAGGCGATGACTCAGGTGCTTGGTTCCCTGCACCCACATGGGAAACCCGGATGGAGTTTCCATCTTTGACCTCATCCAGCCTAGGCTCTTATAGGTATTTGGGGAGTGAACTAGCAGCTGGCTAATTCATTCTCTGTTTCTCCTCTGTCTCATTATGTATACCTTTCAAGTGAATAAAAATAAATAAAAGAATTTTTTTTAAGAAATCATTTATTGGGGCCGGTGCTGTGGCGCAGCAGGTTAACGCCCTAACCTGAAGTGCCGGCATCCCATATGGGCACCGGTTCTAGTCCCGGCTGCTCCTCTTCCAATCCAGCTCTCTGCTGTGGCCTGGGAAAGCAGTGGAAGATGACCCAAGTCCTTGGGCCCCTGCACCCGAGTGGGAGACCCAGAAGAAGCTCCTGGCTCCTTGTCGCTCCCCCTCTTCATGGAGGAACGACACTGGACCCTGCGCTGTTCTTTTGTCTGCTCGGCCCTTCCCGGGTTTGCTGCTGGTCCTTCCCGGGTTGGCTGGCAACCCCTCCACCTCCGTGGAAGGGCGGTTCCCCCTGCCACTTTCCCCACTTCCGCGGGGGAGCGGCACACCGCCGGCCGGCTCTCTCGGGGGCTGCACAGGTGTTATTCAGATAGATGTTCCCCTTAGATGTTCCTGGTGCATGTTGTCTCTCTCCTCCTTTATAGTCCTCTTCCACCAATCCGTGCTCTGCTACCCACACGCCGAGCACGCTGCTCTCCTCCAATCAGGAGCAGCTCCTGCAGGTTATTGGTTGAACTGGAGGCAGCTGCATAGAAGCTGTTTACTCCTCTCCCAGCACCATATTGTGGGAGAGCAGATGCATAGAATAAGTCTTAATTCCAGTAACTTAGTCTAGTCCGAGTTGCTCCCCACAGCTCCTGGCTTCAGATCAGCACAGCTTTGGGCGTTGCAGCCATCTGGGGAGTGAACCATCAGATGGAAGACCTCTCTTTCTCTCTGCCTCTCCTCTCTCTGTGTAATTCTGATTTTCAAATAAATAAATAAATAAATTTTTTAAAAAATTATTTTGTTATTTATGTATTTTAAAGAGGTACAGAGAGAGAGAGGAGGAGAGATAGAACGATCTTCCGTCCACTGGTTCACTCCCCAGATGGCCATAATGGCTGGAGCTGGGCCAGGCTGAAGCCAGGAACCAGGAGCTTCATCCAGATCTCCCACATGTATGGGGGCCTGAGCACTTGAGCCGTCCTCTGCTACTTCTCCCAGGTCGTTAGCAGGGAGCTATATTGGAGGTGGAGCATTTGAGACACAAACTGGTGGCATTGCAGGTGGCGGTTTTCCCTGCTGTTCCTCATCGCTGGCCCTAAGCATCTATTTTTATAGAAGCATAACATGCATAAGAAAGTAAGAGATGATAAATATACAGCTGAATGCTTCTCACAAAGTGAGCAGTCTCCTGGGACCACACCCAGATAGAGAGACAGGATGTTTCCAGCCCTGCCGAAGCCCTCACTGGGTCATCTCCTTGTCCTGGCTCCTAAAGGGGAACCATTGTCTGGTCTTCTAACGGCATAGTTTCATTTTCTTGTTTGAATTTTTCTATTCTTAAAAAAGATTTATTTATTTATTTGAAAGACAGTGTTATAGGGAGAGAAAGACACACACAGAGAGGGAGAATCTTCCATCTGCTGGTTCACTCCCGAAATGGTTGCAAGAACCAGGCCAAGCCGAAGCCAGGAGCCTGGAACTCCATCCGGGTTTCCCACATGTGTGGCAGGGCCCCAAGCACTTGGGCCATCTTGGGCTGCTTTCCCAGGCACGTCAGCAGGGAGCTGGATTGGAAGCGGAGCAGCCAGAGCTTGAACCGGCACTCATAGGGGATGCAGTGTCACAGGCAGTGGCTTAACCCACTGTACTGCATGGCCAGCTCTGCTCTCTGGATTTTTAAATCCCCTGCACCTCTGGGGAGGTGTGGACATACTCTGTCATAGCTGCTTCCATCTCCTTCCAGCACAGGGACGCCCATCAGACCTGGAGACTCAGAGAACCCCCTTCTGCCACCCCAGGCCTGCGCAGCACTTTGCTATTATTTTTCCATGGCCAGGGAGGGACTGGCTAGGCAAGCGTCAAGAAGGAGGCAGATCCCACCTCACCTCCCAGGAATCCTTTTCATGTTGCCCACCCTGTGGGGGGAGACAAGCAGGGGAAGGAGACCACGGCCTGTGCTGGGGGTTCGTCGACAGAGCAACCCCACTCCAGGGCCTACAGCGAGAGGAGCCCCCGAGCAGCAGGGGCCTGCGGGGCTTCGGTCTCACAGCCCCTAGTGCCTTCCCACCTGCTGGGACTTCTAGGGGATTTCCAGGGCTTGCAGCAGCAAGGACACATTTCCCAGAGTTCTTGATTCCGGCCTCCTCGGGCCCACACAGCCTGAAACTGAAAGCTGCCCGGGTCTGGTCACGGCTTCCTCTGGGATTTGGACCCAGGCCAGCCAGCAGCTTGATAAGGCCACATAGGGAATGAAGCGGCTTGACAGGCCTGCGTGTGCTCCCTGCCCCGCGGGGCCTGGCGTCTTAGCTGTGGCCTCGGATGCACCGGGTGGAAGTAGGGATCTGGCATTGGAGAGAGCTTTCCCCAGCATGCAGCCAGGATGACGAGGGCATGGCCAGCGTCCAGAGGGGCTCTCCTCCCTCTGCTTCCCCCGTGAGCAGGCAGGTCCCCATGTCTACTGCCCACCAGCTTCCGGTGTGGGCCCTGCAGGGCGTCACAGGGGGGAGAGAGGAGAGGCAAGCGGTGTTTGTGCACAAGCGGGAAACAACCAGACACTGGCTCAAGCAGCCAGACAGACTTCGTTCAGTCCAACTACTGCAGCAGGGCGCAGGGGCCGCGTGAGCCGAATGCTGCTTCTCTGAACCCAAGGCCCACAGAGGCGGTGAGGGGCGTGTCGGGGCCACGGCGCGAATCCAGGGGTGGAACAAACTCCCTGACAACTCTCTGAACAGCAGCAGCAGGGGTCAGGCTGACGTGAGGCCCTTGCCTCCCACAGAGCCTGGCGGGCCCAGAACGTGTGCATCTCAGAGGCGGCTCTTGGTCCTCAGCTGGCTGCAGCTCTCCTGCATGGAGAGAGGTCAGCATGCATGCGCTCTGCAGTCGCTGCTCTGAGACGGGGGGCGGGGGGAGAGCCCTTTCTGCCTGTCACCAGGTTTTGGTCGCAAACAGCAAATTCTGGCAATGCTGAGCTTTCTCTAACAGGCATGTTCAAGGGGCCTGGGGTGATCCTGATGACCTGACCTTAAGCTGCCCGAAGCCATGGTAGAGTCTGACCAGTCTTCGTGTGGGAAGGTGGCATGCAGCTTAGGTGCTGAGACTGTCACAGGTCTCACCTCCCTGGGGCCATGGGCACTGGTGGCCTCCTTGGCCCCAGGCAGCCTCTTTGTGCCTCACTTTCACCACCACAGGCCCTGGGGTGCTGGAGCCACAGCAGGCCAGGAGTCAGGCTCAGCAGCCCAGTGCAGGGGGCCCGGGGCAGCTTCAGTATAGTAGCCTGGGAGAGCGGTGGTCTTACCTCCACTTCCAGTTCATGCAGGCAGCAGCCGAGGCCTTGAGAAGTAATTACACCGCTCAGGGTCGCAGGAACTTGAACCTGGTTGTATTAGGCGCTGCTATGACAAGTTGCCATGAGAGGTGGGTGATAAAAGCGATAGAATCTCTCACGGTTCTGGAGGATGGAAGAACCAAGGCGCCAGCCGGGCCTGGCTGCTCTGACGGCTGCAGGGGAGAGTCCTTCCTCACATCCTCCAGCGTCTGGCGTCCGTGAGGTCCCGGGCGCTCCCTGGCGCGCAGACACATCACTCCAGTCTCTGCCTCCGTCTGCACATGGCCTCCTCATCTTCTCTGCCCCGTGTCTCCGTCGCACACCTCCTCTGGTCTCAGAGGAACGCCAGTCCTTAGAGATGATCTGATCTTGAGATTGGCAATCAGATCTTTCAGGATCCCGTTTCCGAATCAGGTCATACTCTCAGGTACCGAGGGTTAGGCACGGACGTATCTCCCGTGGGGACTTAGTGCATCCCACTGCCCTCTCGCTGCCCTCATCATCCTGCTTCTGTCAAGGTCAAGGAACGTCTGGGCACGGCACAGACAGGTGGGGCTCTGAGTGGGGATGTGGACATCTAAGAGGGGTTCCAGGAAGAGAGAAGTGAGAAGCCAGAGGGAAGAAGGTATCAGAGAGCTCAGCCAGACATTTCCCGGAACGGAAGGAAGCAGAGCAGAGGATGAATGGTGCTTCTCGCCCTGGTGCGCAAACCTTGACCGTGACGCAGCTGGCGGCCTTGTGGGGTGGAGAATCTGAAGTTATCCTGGGGCGAGCGTTGTGACGCAGACGTTAAGCCGCCATGCGGGATACCCACATCCCACAGCGGAGTGCCTGCGTCGGACTCCCGCCTACACTTTCCATCCAGCTTCCTGCCAACACACACCCTGGGAGGCAGCAGGGGATGGGCCTGTGACATCCATGAGGGAGACTAGAAGAAGCGCCTGGCTCCTGGCTGTGGCCTGGCCCAGCCCTGG